ACGTGCAAGGGTATGTGATGAATAATGACTGGGATATTCTGATATTGACTGAAACATGGTTGGATGAAAAAGGGGTATTTCTGTATAATAAACGGTATATTTTAAATAAATACACTGCGGCTCACTCCTGTAGATTAACTAGAGGAGGTGGAGTCTCAATTTATGTTAGGGATTGTATTAAATATACTGAAAAAGAAAAATCTGATTCTGCAGATGCTATAAATTGGCTGTGTGTTGGCATAGGCGATCAAAAAATAAAGTTAAGCGTTGTTTACACCTGTTCAAACCTGCCAACCCAATAGTTATGCGAGGAAAAAAATAGACAACTCAACGTTTCTATATTTTTTAGGCCCTATACTTTCGATTAGTATGAAATTTGTTCGTTAAACAAATGAGTGCAATACCTTTAAGAATTATAATTTTTAAATTATTCAATAATAATAGTCTGGCCAGGAATTTTTTAGCTAACTCACACGTGATATTTTTTTTATCATACTAACTTTGATATAAAATAGTTTTTACCCATTAAACAGATGGGTGCAGATCCTTTCCTATTCGGATCTTAGACTAGACCTCTTCGCTCCAACAAACCAGAGGCGGAACCACGAACAATCGCTATCGATAAGTTCTCGACAAGTTCTCACCTCGTCCACCCATCGCTCAACGTTAGTCGCCAAAATTGCCACCGCAAACGTTCGTTTGCACCGCAAATGTTCGTTTGTGGTGGCAATTTTGGACCCTAACGTTGAGCGATGGGTGGACGAGGTGATAAATGAGGGGAAATTGTCGAGAACTTATCGATAGCGATTGTTTGTGGTTCCAGTGCAGGTTACAGTTGCAAGTCCATATAACATACAATTTGCAGACGATACCGCTATTATATCACATCATAAGAATATATCTCAAGCTGTTCAATCTCTACAAATAGCACTTAACAGAGTGATTGTCTGGTTAGATAGGTGGAAACTAAAAGTAAATCCTGAAAAATCGCAATTTATAATATTTCATCACAAGATCAGCGAAGCTTCACCAAAACTAGATATTCTCAACCATCAAATACCCCCTCAGTCTCACATGAAATACCCGGGTATTTATTTCGACAATAAATTAAATTTCAAATATCACCTGTCAACAATGAAGAGAAAGACAATAACAAGAAGCAAGCATTTTAGAAACCTAACATACAAGGACGAGGGTATTAACATCAAAACTCTGCATGTCACATCTACACAACAATATGCAAGCAAACCAATTTTGGAATACGAACAAATAATTTTCATTGCTTGTAGAGGACCTGCCATCCAGATAATAGAAACTGCAGAAACAACTTAGTCTCCGTAAAATTACAAAAATCAGTCATCCTACAAATCTGCTTCATAATCCATCAAATGAAATGTTATATCAAAAAAATGGAATTGAACCAATCATTCAAAGATTTCAAAGTCTTACCGAGAAGTTTGGCAGCAGAACGTCCAACATAGCGATAATCAGTCCATTCATTTTGGAAATTCCACAAGGCCTTAGCAGGAAAAGACAATATTCAGAAGAAACTGTTTTCCAAATTATACAAAATAATAGACTGTAAAATCTGGGTTTTCAATTTCAGAAGAACCCGAACCAGAACTTATACTGGGGTTTTGTATATTTTATAGCCCTACGACTTGTAAGCTAATTGGTATTATCCGAAAAGAAACATAATTATATATTTTATCGGAACCAGTCTGCAGGCGTCTGAACACATAAAAATTATGAGCCAACTTGGTATTATCACAAATAACGCAAATTATTGTTTGGAACCAATTTAAAACCTGTTGGAATTACCCAAATAAAAATGTATTGGCACTATTTTAAATGCCTGTTAATACTGGGCTGAAAGGTTTTGCCCAAAAAATAAACACAATTCTGCTTACTGGAATTTTCACGTTTTCGACGGTTTCGTTTTCGTTCCAGATCCTCTAACTGCTTCCTGAACTTCCTCCTCTTTCTCTCCAAGTCACTATTGTCACTATCATCACTAAAAACTTTATTTCTTTTAGGCATTTTTACTATTTTATTAATTATTTCACGTAGAAAAGATAAAACCGTACTGCTACCACAGATCCTGCTACGACAAAGCATAACAGTGTAATGATTCATATAGATTTATAGCCCGGACGATGATAAAAAGGGATAGGTATTTTTTTTTTGCTGTTGTTTATCTTTAAATAATAATTGTGCTCGACAAATCCACGCTGTGTGTATTCTAATTGGACGAGTACCTATATCGGAATATAATTGGCTGTTTTTAGACCAATGGTTAAAGTTATCGGCTATCAGAGTCATTTAACTTCTTTACAATTGGTTACTTTTTTTATTATGCTTATTTTAACCGCCAGAAAAAGATAATTGACCTAAAAGCAAGGACTGACTAAATAGCATTTGGATAAAAAGTCTTGAGCTGACACAAATTTGCATATCTCTTCTAGCCCATCCAGATAAGCTCGAGGTTTAGCCTAACATTCAAATTCTGAGATAGTAGTGGTTCAATTTCAATGCAGTTTTTTTTATAGTCTTTTGAACTCTTTGGAGACCTAACTAACCCAAATTTCAAGCAATTGCTAGGAGAAATTGATAGAAATATGTGCAGCAGAGCCTCTCACTCTCACAACTAGAATATGCTATAAGGGATTGCAGTTAAAATTTTCCAATTTGTTACAGACTTCGAGGCGTTTTCCGAGTATTAATTTTCAACCTCTTATTGTTGAAAATATAAGTAAAAAATCAGTGTAACAACGACTATTTTTTAAAAAACCACATTGAAATTCTCTCAAAGTTTGAATGATTAAAAGTACCTTCAACAAACAATTTCTCGAAACCTATCAATCTCTTTTTTGTTGATTTTATTTAAAAAAATTCATTATCAAAGAGAAGGGGTCATTTGACCCAAAACCAATATTTTTATTCACCCTAATTGTTCAATGTATGACCCACACACCAATAAAACCACAGCTACACTGTCACTGATACACATTTTGAATCCGAATGATCTCACCGAATTTAGATTAATCGAATGCAAAGTTTAATTAATCGCTAATTAACATTATTACAATATTGTCCGAAGGGAACCAGAAATTCAACTTTGAATAATTGATAAAATGGCATTAAATAAATTTTCGCAGTATTAGATAAATTGAATGTTTCTCTTTGTGCATGATTGCATGTGTATGGATAATTATTTATTTGCCTCTTGGCGAATGCCTTCGCTTCGAACTTCTGGGCTAGAATTGATTTTATTGCAGTTATAATCTCAAAATTTGTTATCGATTAAAACCAACACGTCACTGCAATTCGACCGGCGTGTATAACTTATACACCAATTAGTATACTATCCAACAAAAATCAAGCCCTTGTTTCAAAACATAGCAAGTTTTTCTTTTCTTCTCGAAGTTCGATAAATTATTCGGCAACTTGGATGGCTACCAAGAACTTTGGCAGTTGCAGCTGCAGCTGCCGATGCGAATGGCAGTGTGTTTTGTTTAAATTCCAGATTTATTGTTGCGGTCTAAAGATGCATGCTGTTGCGATTTGTCCGGGATAGTAATGGCCTAGTCGACAACAACGCCAAATCTCACTGGTCTATGTTTGTTTGTACAAGCACTTTCCGCTTTGCTTAAATAATTTTGAGGAATTTAAAGAAAATCGGAATCACTTTTTGCATGTATGTGCCTTGGCTTCTCTTAAAAAAGTTCTGTGTCCATATCCAAAAAATTTTACTGCTTTCTATAGCATCCGCACCAATGGCAAGTCTCATCGGACGGTGCCAAAATGCTGGGCCACATGATATTAAGAAGGGGCAATACTGAGGCTACTGGATCTAGTGCCGCTATACTAGGCCTAAAAGTTGTCGGAGGCAAGTTACTAGAGAATGGCTGTAAAGGGGCTATCATTGAAAAAGTTAAGAAGGGCAGTATAGCCGATGTTGATGGACAACTCAGACCAGGTACTAAGAGTAATTTTGCATTAATAATAATCATTATCGATAAACTGAAGAGGTTTTCCATGTTTTTAGAAATCTGTAGTCATCACATCATGTCTGATAAGATTGAGCAGATTATCTATGCTTTATTTTTGTTTTTTAGGCGACGAAGTTATTGAATGGAATGGCAGACTCTTACAAGGCAAATCTTATCAGGAAGTTGCAGATATTATAGCTGAAAGCAAACAAGAAGCCAACGTTGAACTAATCGTTAGTAGGCCAATGATCAACAGAAGAATTGCCAAAGCTTCATGGAGGGAATTTGCTGCCCAGAGAGGTAGGCAACTTGTAGTTTTATCAATTTAATATGAAAGGTTTTTCAGGTATGTACTCACAAAACGCTAACCCCTAATAAAATTTAAAATTTAAGTTTACGAGCACAAAACACACCGCTGATTTTTCACCTATACACCACACTGTACACTGTAATAAATGTTTTCTTTTTTATATTTCATTGTATGTGTCTAATTTAGATGTCCCTCTTCTTAGTTATTAGGTGTAGTGATAGTCAATTTATGGGAGCAACAACTGTGTGTTTCGGTCTCGTACATAGGTACCCACTTTTAATGTCAAACAATAAATATTTAATCCTATATAACACTTGAAATATTTGTTATTATATGTATACTCACATTCACTTCAACAATTGTTTAGTATTCACTGTGTGTTAGTGTACAAAAGGCATTCCTCGATTATTTTTCTATCGAAATTACTACCGATGACTACAAAATAATATCTAAAGCTAGTTATAGTAAAATTGTGTGAAGGTATCAGTTTTCAGAAGAGTTTGTGACAATTTTATAATTTTCAGCGAATCTAGGTTCAAACATTAGAGCTAACAGAAAGTTACTGAACAATAAAAAATAATGGTACTTAGTTTAAAAGTGGCAATTTGCACAGCTCTTTGCAAATGCTGTTCACCATATTTTATACGATAAAAGTGCAAAGTGAATTGTATATTTTCATTATCAAAAATTTATCTTAGGTCAACCTAATGTCTCATGGCCGGATAGCGAAATCTACGAACGACCACACGTTTTGGTTACATCACCTGGTAGTCCTGATCGTCAGGAAGCTGCGCCCTCTTTGCAAGCTCCAAGTGTTGGAGGCCGGATACAAGTAAGTTTTAAGTTGGGACAATCATCTATTTATTTCAATGATTTTTTTTCTTCAGATTCGAATGGGTTTTGACCCAACAACTCTACAACTTCTAGTAACCATAGTGTGCGCCGCCGGTTTGAGACCTCGAAGCGAACAACAACCTCGAAATCCGTATTGTAAACTTTTTCTTTTGCCGGATAGATCAGAGAAAAGCAAACGAAGAACTCGGACATTGGGAGGTAAGTGTATCATAAAATCACTATCATAGCTACATGTATTATGATAAACTGCAGGCACAGTTTCTTTTTGCTTAGAACGTACAGTTGCAAAAATCTAATCTCCAAACTAAATCAAGGCAAAGTTAGTCGTAGCGCGAAAGAAAAATGTAGGACACAATTTGGCACGCGTTCCGGACCAGAGGAAAAAGTGATTTATTCCTTCGGGTCATTTTTATCTTTGGCCATGGAGTCTGGGGCCAGAAAGAGAGAGGGTGAAAGGAACGAAAAAGTGGGGGCTATACAGCTAGATGCACTCTGGGGCAATCGCTCGTAGATTATTTTTTATTAATAAGTCGGCCGTGTGGAAAGTCGTTTGTGTGGTAGAACAGGCGTTACGCCATCGGACTATGTTCGTGAATAAAGTACGATGTTTAAATAATTTTATATTAGTAGAGTTGCATAAGTTCTTTATACAACATTTTATTTAGATAGTTCTGATATATGATTTTTTTCTTCTCAGGTACAATCGAACCAATGTGGAACCAAACCTTTGTCTATTCAGGTCTCAGACGGGCCGACCTTAGACTCAGAGCTCTAGAAATAACCGTTTGGGATTATGTTAGATATGGTGCCAACGATTTTTTAGGCGAAGCCATTGTCGAACTTTGGCCTTTGGAAGAACAACCGATGTGGCGGCAGCTGGTACCACACGAGGAGGTAAATTGAAAAAAAAAATATTATATTTTGTTATGGTCGAAATTTAAAATTTTCCAAGGATTGCTTGTCTAATTCCTAGATCGATTTGATTTTATTTAGTTTGGTATTTTTAGACGACTTTCATTTCACCAGTCAGCAATGTAATAGTATTTGTTACATTGAAATTATTTGATTTTGGTCGATTAATCTTTCTTCTTGTGATCATATTGCTAGGGATTCCAAAGGTCCCCTTAAAACTCTCTGTGCATTAAACCAATTGACTATACAAAATTCACTCTCAATTCGACCAATTATTCTCCTATAAGCCTTCACCTGGTCAAGATGCACCATCTTCCCTTCCACTTCGATGCCTCGATTCATCTATAATGATGTATTATTCTCTATCTCCCTACTACTGTGACATAATTGAGATTTTATGTTAAAATTGATATTTTGGTAGCGTGAATAATTCTATCACATCTTAAAATTTCGTGGTAAATTATGCTGAAAAGTAAATTTGATCTGAAATAGTTTTCTGAACCGGAGGCAATCTGAACGAAATCTTGTTTCTTCTCTTCTTGAAGTGTTTATTGAAAGGTGTTATTAGAGACTCAAAATTAGTACAACTTACCACTTTTCTGCTGAAGCTGGAAACACCTTCTTTAACAGCACAATCCGGCACGTAAGATCTTTCTACACCACAACCAGTGTTTTAATGAGAATTTCAAAACCAGAAAAGAAAAACTAATTTTGAAAGTATAAAACTAATTTTTTTATGAGTATTAAATAATATGCGTAATATACTTCCATTTTCTATTGATTAATGTGAATGATTACTCATACAGTGAGTTTTTTTTCATTACTCAATGGTTTTCAACCAATGAAAATATCCTGGTCTCATTACTCCACTATTTAAGAGCCAATCAGAAAATTTGACAAGTTGACAACACACTTCAACCTTCCAATCGGTCATTTTGACAGCTGACTTGGACAAAATTTGTGCTAACCTAGCCTCACTCTGTTCTCCAGTTGTCAGAATTGTCGATTAGTTTTGTTACGAAAATTGAATAAAAAACCGCATAACTCGTGCCTATCATCTATTGATCATAAAAAAGTATAGTATTCTTCTCGTGGGTAATGGCTATTACTCACTCAGATGATTACACTACTCGCCTGCGGCTCGTAGTGCAAAATTCATCCTTCGTGAGTAATAGCCATCATTACCCGCTCGTTGAATAATATACTATTATTTATGAGTGAAAAGAAAGCGTTAATTATTTAAAGATAAAAAAAAAGGTAAAGTAAAATAAGGTAAAATAAAAAAAACTAAAATACCTTATTTAATTGATAGACCATAAACAATTTTTAACTAAAGAAAAATTAAAGACAAATTGAAAGAAAAGAGAGTAATTTTCCAATTAGAAGATTTAGTTCCAAATCTGACACTTTTGGAATTTGGAATTGAAAAAAATAACTCACCTCTTTGAAGAGCTTTCACAAAAACACCGGTCGGCAGATGAACTAGAGGAGGAGAAACGGTTCGAGAACTCGTTGAGACTTTGCGACTTAAATTTCTGGCGATAACTCGTAGTAAAAACTAGTGGCGAATTGGCGATAGCTGAAGTTAACTGGCCTCAACATCTGCTTAAATAAGCGAAAGGAACCACCCTCTGGGTACCACTTCACGGCCATTTGCACCGCTATAACTTAAAGGATATTTAATCCAAGTGAAGCTTTGAATGTGAATCTTGTAGAGACAAAAGTCACATTCAAAGCTCCACTTACATTAAATATCCCTTGAATGATAGTTAAGTGATAGCCGTGCAAATGGCCATTAGAAGCCCATTGGCTACCCCTTAGTACCGGGCTTGCGAGAATCGACAAAGTCGAGGATCTCCAACCATCTTAGCTTTCAGTGATTCGCTGAAAGTACCCTTTGGTTTCTTGTCGTGTTCCCATTGGTTTTCAAGTTTATTCAAACTTGCCCAATCCAAAGTGAACCACCCTGTGACCGAGTTTGATGGCTCTCCAACAGAGTTCGCTAGTTATATGTGGTCAAATTATTAATTGAACATTTAATGTTTCCCTTTTCTAATTACCTACCTAATATGCTATTCTTATTTCTTAATTTCTGACCTAGTTGAATAAATAAAATAAAAGTTTCCTAATTTTTGACCTAATCAAGTAAATAAAATAAAAGTTCCCTAATTTCTAACCTAATCATCAAAGGTGTGAAACGAACTAAACTATCCCCTATAAATAATTGAGTAATCACTCCTATCATAACCTACCTATATCTTAATTATAACTAAGCATTTCACTATCTTACAGTTAACATTTCACCCAAGTAGTAACCCTGATAATTATATTGTTATAAAATTGGTTATTGTATCTCAAAAATCCAGCTCATGTAGTTATTGCTTCGCTACACACACATATGCTTCGAATATCAGGTTTAGTAGAAAGTACTGCAACACTTAAATATCTTCAAAACCGCTTAAGCTGTGTTCACACAATTTGGAATCTGACAGTTTTTGGGCATGAGGAATTGAACAGAGCTATCGGCAATGTTGCCAGAATGTAGTCTTTTTGTTATTTTAAAAAGAATGTTCCATTTATTTTTATTGCAATGAATTTGGCGTGCAAAATTTGATAAGATTCCAAATTTTCAGGATTCTATCTTTACTAGTTGCTGAAATATGCCAACACCGCATTCTCAGTAAAAAGTATCGCAACGCTTGAATATCTTTAAAAGCCGCTTAAGCAAGTTCACTAAATTCGGTATCGAGGGGTTTTTTGGCAAGCGAAATTCAACTGTGATATCGGCATTGCTGCCAGATTTCCCAGTTTTGCGGTACGCGTAGTCTTGTTGTTATCTTAAATAGAATGGCACATGTATTTTTATTAAAATGAATTGGGCGTGCCAAGTTTGATGAGATTCCAAAGGATAACGCACACCTAACATGGGATTTTTGGGCTCTACGAATTTTATCCATTTTTTGATATGTTGTAGAGGATTTAATTCTGAACAACCTTTAAATGGGACGAAACCTTGTAGGTTTTACGGTGTTGATATGAGCGTTGAAAGATGAACTTTCCTGCGACTTTTTGTGTGGAGAATATGCGAAAAGCTGGTATTTATCAGTAAAAATTTTGACAGGTTGACATATTTCACGTCACTAACAAATGTCAACATTGGCTAAGGCCGGGACCGCATTGGCGCCAACATTGACCCCAGCGCGGTCCCGGCCTGAACCTATGTTGACATCAATGACATTGACATCAATTTTTAAAGTGACGTAAAAAACCTGTCAATATTTTGACTGATAAACACCAGTAGCAGCAGTATCTCGTATACTCTCCACACAAAAAGTCGCAAAAAAGTTCATCTTCCAACGCTCATATCTCAAAGACCGTAATACCTACAAGATTTCGTCCCATTTAAAGGTTGTTCAGAATTAAATCCTCTACAACATATCAAAAAATGAGCAAAATCCATAGAGCCCAAAAATCCCATGTTAGGTGTGCGTTATCCTTTTCAGAATTATATCTTTACTGAAATATGCTTGAATCGTACTTTCAGTAAAAAGTATCGCAACCCTTGAGTATTTTCAAAACCCGCTTAAGCTAAAGGGGACATTTTGTTTAAAATAACAAAAAAGCTACGCGTAGCGCAAAACTATGAAATCCGGCAGCATTGTCGATATCACTGTTGAATTTCGCTTGCCCAAAAATCCCCAGATACCGAATTTCGTGAACGTGCTTAAACGGCTTTTAAAAATAATCAAGTGTGCGATATTTTCCACTGAAAATGCGGTGTTGGAATATTTCAGCAACTAGTAGAGATAGAATTCTGAAAATTTGGAGTCTCATTAAATTTGGCACGTCCAATTCATTGCAATGAGTATAAATAGGGCATTCTATTTAAGATTACGTGTAGCGCAAAACTGGGAAATCTGGCAACATTGCCGATAGCACTGTTCAATTCCGCATACCAAAAAACTGTAAGATTCCAAATTGTGTGAACGCGGCTTAAGCGGTTTTGAAGATATTTAAGTGTTGCAGTACTTTTTACTAACCCTGTATTATTCTTTGCAGCGCCATCAGTTACCTGACATCTGGTTTCGTCTTAAAACGTGTGTAGTCAGAGATTATCCTTGACTTTGAATAAATTATTACAACCACATGGGATCTGGTTCAGTCGACAGATTAGTTTAAAGTTCAGTGTTTATCTAGGAAAACATAAATTTTGCCTTTATATTTGTCAATTTCGGGTTACAGCAATAATAATCTTGAAGCTATTAAATTCGATACTTTTCTGGCTTTCAAGTGATTTTTACCCTCGAACAGATTAGGACGTGTGTTTGTAAATTTCATTAGAGTCACATTTCAGCTATCTATAAAAATAAAACCTTTCCCACGAAAGATGAGCTTGAACCGAGAATATGTATTATCCTTGACTTTGAATAAATTATTACAACCACATGGGATCTGGTTCAGTCGACAGATTAGTTTTAAGTTTAGTGTTTATCTAGGAAAACATAAATTATGCCTATACCTATATTTGTCAATTTCGGGTTACAGCAATAATAATCTTGAAGCTATAAAATTCGATACTTTTCTGGCTTTCAAGTGATTTTTACCCTCGAACAGATTAGGACGTGTGTTTGTGAATTTCATTGGGGTCACATTTTAGCTACCTATAAAAATAAAAATTTTCCCACGAAAGATGAGCTTGAACCGAGAATATGAATTTGCTATTGATTTTGTTATACTACCAGCAGTACTAAGCCTTACAGGGTCCTCAGAACCATGTTTTTGGAAATCATGTCCTCCAAATCTATGTTTTTTGTCATGTCACGATCATCAATTTTGAGACTTCAACTGACTATGGCTGCGTTGTTATGCAGTGTACTAGAACGATGTTTTATTCGGAATCAAAGAGCTGTTACAACTTCTCAATCAGACGCTGAGAGTCATCAGAAGTAGAGCAAAATCTTGGGTTGAACTCGGCAGTCATGTTTAAAATGTCGACTTCTTCCTGACGAACAGTTTCAACTTCCTGATGAACAGATTCAACTTCATGACGAATACTCCTAACCTAACTTATACAGATACTTCTTTCATTGCATTCTTGAATTTATTATCTTGCTTTTCAAAGATTTTCTCGAGCCTGGTTTGTTCCTCCGAGTCCATTCTCGCTAAAATTTAAAATTTTCGGGAAGCTGATCTTGTCTCAGGGCTTCTTTTTCTTGCCTTTCTTTCTGTCTTCGGTCTTCCTGTTTTGATTTTTTCTATGTAAAGGCTTCATCTAGCTTTTTTTTTATATCTTCGGGCTTTCTCTTCTTGTCTCACCGATCTTCTTGTTTTAGTAAAAGTTCTGCAAGCCGGTCTTATTCTTCTCGTCTCGAGATTCCTTATTTTCTAGTAATGTTTTCGATATTTTTGATGAAGTCCACCAACATTTGGTGGAATTGCTGTCGTGTATTCACCATAGAATATTCTATATATTTCTTGGAACTGGATTTTGTTACAAATGGAAGGCTCTTCTTACTCGAGAAGATAATTGAAGGAGTCAAGTAGTCAATGGCTATACAGGCCTCTGCCTGGATTCAGTAAAGAGTTGATAGGGATGGACGCACAAATTTGGTTTGCACCGACTCTATTTAGAGCAAATGGTCCAATAATCCCACACTAAGAATTGATTCTGAAAACTAGAGCAGCAGTACCTATTTATTAACCAAAACTCTGAATTGACTCACCTCAGAAAAAACGTGGGACCACCAATCACAAAATGGAGGCACACAATTAGATTTAAAAAAAATTAAAATATAATAGGTCTGTTTCTGCAGAAATCACAAACCAGTCAGAATGAATTTCATTGGTTGAAACTAGTTTTCTGACTAAAAAAATGGAATTCGCTCTGACTGGTTTGTGATTTATGCAGAAACAGACCTATTATTTATATTTCAAAGGTAGATGAGATAAGATTTATCAGGTAAAAACAACAGTGATATGATAGTATACACTGATGGTAAATAAATTGAAAAATATTAAGCGAAATTTAGAAATCTGAAGAAAAAAATTACAAAAAATGAAATCGGCTTGCCTGTTTAGTGGTCACGTTACTCATTTCAGTACTTGGCTGGAATTGATACACCAGTTATTGTCTTGCTAATTATTCCACTTTTGAAATAAAATTATCACGGATTCCGCAAGTCTACTAAAAGCTCTTCTTATCAAGAATCACCATGCGCTTTATATGTAAAACCTTTTGATAGAAAATCTTTAAAATGACGCAAATGCTCGTTTATTTGAATTAAACCACGAAATTCATATTTGCTCTCGGATTGTGACCAGTGGCGCAGGCTTCTCCGTACCAATGTAATTTTTGTTCGATGATCTTCCCTCCTTTCTGATACAAGAATGACAGTAGCCAGGTTGTTCCATGCTGTGCTGGAGACTTAAATATAATAAGTGATTATAACTCACGCTCGTGCATAAGAGATTTAATATAGGAAGCTGAAGCAGATCTGAAATGTGAGTGTAGATTATTGGTTGATCATCCTGCTGAGTTGAAATGATTGCATTGCCAATTATCGCAGAAATTAGGTTCTTTTTGGCGAAGATTAGGTTCTATTTTCCATAACACAAGAAAATTATTCAAAGTTATAAAGCAATTCTTCTTATTTGAAAGATTTAGAAGGAAAACCGTAGGTACGTTGTTCCATATAGGTAATTACGCAATAAAAGTTCGTGTTCTTCAGGAAAAGCTTTCGTTACATTGAAAGTCAACAAACAAGCAAACAAACAAACAGATTTCACAAATCGTCGTTGAAAACTGCGCTGCACGTGTATTGCAATGCCATCGCCATCACGTAAAAACGTAGATCCTTGACCTGGGGACGAATATCCGAGACAACCGGATCGAAAACTCATTGAATTTGTAGCACACGTGCGAACTCTATTTCCATAATAGTCTTTCGTTGTTTTAGAAATTCTTGTATGCCTGTGCGAAATGTGGGCTATCGCATGTATCGTAGTGCTAAACATCGAATATAATTTTATCAGTAGTTTTAATTGGGATTGTTAATTTTGTTTGGCCTTTATTATGCATACACAGACTTCTGAATCTAATTAGAAAATTTATTCAACTTGAATTGAACCGTCTTTTCTCTAATATTTTAGGTTGCCTTAACACCAAGCGAACACCTTTCTCCACCAAGTACGGGTAGTCGTTTTTCCGACAGCGACACACCATCTGAGTGTGAAATTGAGGGTGGACGAGAAAGAAGAGGCGCAGATGGTGCTAGTGTAAGCAGCGTGGGAAGTTCATCCAGTCCTCCTAGGGAGTGCGATAGACGATCTAGAAGGGATCAAGAGCCTGTGCAAACTTATAAGTACCGAAGAGTAAGTATTTTTTTAATTATCTGAAATTAATGTTGACTGTTTCGATGTAATTAAAACCGCTCTTAGAATAACGAAAATTTCTCGTTGAAAAGCACTCAAAATGTGATGCATAATCAAATTGCACACTATTCCCGCAATATCTCGCCTTCATTATGGGAGCAACTTCAAAAGGGGAGAGATCGATATACCTTTAGCAGTCTGCAGTTTATTTAACCCAAGTCGGAACTAATGGTCGTTATCGCAGGGTTGTTAACACTTGTTTAACTTTGAAATGTTACATGGGAGAATGAACTGTTTACACCGATGGTCTAACGGAAGGGATTCCTAATATAACTTTTAAGGTGTTTCAAAAACTTCTAATTAAGTTAAAAAAAAAAAATTAAATGGATTTATTTGTAAAATACGCTGCCTTTTAGGTATGCTTACTGGCTTATGATCAATAATAGCATTTCAAGGATGTTCTTTTGCGATGAAGCCATTGTGTTAAAACCTGTAAAAAACTGAACGTTCAAAAATCAAATAAAGATTTTTACAAACAGTAACAACAGTCATCCATATTAATAGCTTCATTGCAGTTTCATCTATCTAAGTAACTGCATTTTATTGTTGAAGACCTTCTCCTAATATTTACCTACTCCTTGGCAATTGATTTTTTTTTCAGGATTTTGAACAGTTTCAATACGTTTAGGTTGAGGTACTTTATTATTATTATTATTATAGCCAATTTTGTAACGCGCTTCGCTTTTGTTGCGTAATCGACGCAGGTTCAGTGTAAGTCGGTTTATTTAACGGTTTGCCTCGGGCGCCACCCTCAGGATTAAAGTGGTTGTGAGCCCACGTGCACCAGGTAGCTTGTTACAGTGGAGAAACGGTAATCCAGGGGTCACAGACGCTTGCGCTGTAAAATATTCTGAAAACCTTGGTTTGGGGAAAAGAAATAGACAACAGTCGATAAATTTAAAGAAATATAACAATCTGTATTGCCAGAAAATATTTACAGGAAAAACACTTAATTAACCCTGTGAAAAAAAGAGCCGGGATGCGTGAGAGAGAGATAATTGAATGAGTGAGAAATTATGTGCGTGCGGTAAAAGCGTGACCATGCGGGCGGTAAAAAGCGTGTCCGGAAAAGTTAACGGTAGCGATAACGGAACGGTCAACCTTCCGGTAGCTCTAAAAGTTCCGGTAACGTTAACGCTAACGGCAAATGGTAAATAGCAATAAGGCGGTAAAAGAAACTCCGGTGACCTAAGCAAATGTACGGACACCACCTGAAACTACATAAGCGTCAGTTCTCGAATCGTGCATTTAACGGATGAGAGATACCATATAAGTTTCGAAGAGAAATACCTGTCCTAGGTTCCAGGCGAAAATCTCTCATACAGAATTACCCGTCCAGGGTACTGGGCGAAGTTCTATGAGCAATAGAGATTAACCATCCAGGGTACCGGGCGAAACCCCTATTGCAGGAAAAGATTTACCCGTCCAAGGTACCGTGCGAAAATCTTAGCTTGATTTTCTACCTTCTGGTGTAATTTGCGACCCTGCAAGAACTGACCCCTACTATGGTTACGGCGGGTTGGCTCACCTCGGACGGTTCTGGTGGTGATACTGCTATCTCTGCTGTCACTTCGGCTGGGTTTTCGGAGACCAGTGGAAAACTGTCCTTTACCAGTAAATTCTGCCCAATTTATAGTCGAAAAGATGGGTCAGAGACGCAGGAAATATGTAAATTAGCTGATACCGGCCGAAACTCTGCTGGGATCGGTAGATTCAGGGCGAGGTCACGCGAAATCATGATAATGTATTCAATATTTAGGAATAATATAAAGAGGATTTTAATTAATACCGCCGTGAATTTAAAAAATTAAGTCACGCAGTTAATAATTAAATAAAGTCGAAGCGGGAGGCGCACTTATTTTATAAAAAATACTGAAACTTCGTTACACAACCCCCCTTCTTATTTATTATTATATTTATTATCAGGTAATTCATAATAGTATGAAAAAAATGTTGCCTGCACTAACAACTCCTCAGTTAGAATAGAGAATAATTCACTTTAGCCAAACATTTCTAACTTGCCAATTTTCCTCTTCAGGATGGTATGGTTGGTCACCGTTCCCACTCAGCTGCCCCTGGCGAAGGTCAAGTAATACATTCTTCCCGATCACGTTCCAAATCACCACGACGAATGCCTACAGACTACCGATCACTATCGCCACCCGATTGCGACACCGCCATCTTTTCAGGAGCCAGGTTCAAATCCAGGTCCGCTACAGCCACTCCTACCGGTTCCCCCAAGAAACGACAGTTGCCTCAGGTACCGCACGCGCTTGCTCGTGCGCTACAAGAACGAGTTGCGCAAGATTTAGAAGACCGGGGAGGTAATCATCGTCGCGTAAGGTACCTTCACAACTACAGAAGTACTGGGTCCAGCTGGGAACGACGCTATAGTGGTTTAAGTGATAGTGATCTGACTAGTCATGCAAGAACCACTAGTCATAGGCGACCAATATCACCGGATAGAGATAGAGATCCGTTAGGTTTAGGAGATTTTGATAGTGATATGGAATCGGTGGTGTCGGTGACAAGCAGTTCCTTTTCGACGCAAAGTGAAAGACCTAGGGGGAACAGATTGTCTAGGTAAGTTTGGCATTAAATTTTTTCATACATACTTAGTTTTTCTTATCCTTGTTCTCAAAACTTATTGCCATTCCATCTTTAAACCATTAAAGTTTTCCAAGGAGTTAGATGTGATACTAGATTTGTTGAGTAATCACTGCAGTGATAAAGAATAGTATATTATTCAACGAGCAGGTAATGATGGCTATTACTCACGAAGGATGAAGTTTGCACTACGAGCCGCAGGCGAGTAGTGTAATCATCCGAGTGAGTAATACCCATTACCCTCGAGTAGAATACTATACTTTTTCTATGATTAATACATAATAGGCACGAGTTATGCAGTTTTTTATTTAATTTTCGTAATAAAATTGATTGACAATTCTGACAGCTGGAGGACAAAGTGAGGTTAGGTTAGCACAAGTCTTGTCTGTGGTCTTGTCCAAATTAGCTGTCAAAATGACCGATTGGAAGTTTGAAGTATATGTTGTCAACTTCTCGAATTTTCTGATTGGCTCTTAAATAGTGGAGAAAAATATTTTTTTTCTATGAGTAGGTATTGAATAATATGCGTAATATAGATCCATTTTCTATTGATCAATGTGAATGATTACTCATACAGTGAGTTTTTTTTTCATTACTCAATGGTTTTTAACCAATGAAAATATCCTGGTCTCATTACTCCACTATTTAAGAGCCAATGAGAAAATTCGAGAAGTTGACAACATACTTCAATCTTCCAATCGGTCATTTTGACAGCTGATTTAAACAAGACTCGTGCTAACCTAACCTGATTTTGTCCTTCAGCTGTCAGAATTGTTAATTAATTTTGTTATGGAAATTAAATAAAAAAAACTCGTTCCTATTATCTATTAATCATAGAAAAAGTATAAAGTCTGTTTTTTTTTTTAAGATAATTCCCCAAGTCATAAATTTAGTAACTATGTTGGCAACACAAGCCTTTTCTACATAAAAAAATTGAAAGCATTGACAATTTTACATTGTATTGCCAACATAATGTCATTTTGACTTCTATCTTTAAAAAAAAAAACAGATTTTAGTATTCTACTCGTGAGTAATGGCTATTACTCACTCGGATGATTACACTACTCGCCTGCGGCTCGTAGTGCAAACTTCATTCTTCGTGAGTAATAGTCATCATTACCCGCTCGTTGAATAATATACTAATGGGTACATTCAGGCGGTCCCAGCGGCTAAGCTCAGCCACTCAGCAGGGACTTTATTCTCGAAACCAAGAAACAGCGTTCTCATAAGAACGATTGCTCTGTCATTGTCAGTGCTATGCCGGACGATAAAGACGGGAACTTCGTTCCAATGAGAGCGCTGCTCCCCTGTTTCGAGAATAAAGTTCCTGCTGAGTAGCTGAACTTTATTCTCGAAACCAAGGAACGGCGTTCTCATAAGAACGATTACTCTGTCATTGTCAGTGTTATGCCGGACGACAAAGACAGAACCTTCGTTCCAATGAGAATACTGTTCCTTGGTTTCGAGAATAACGTTCCTGCTGAGAGGCTGAGCCAAGCCGCTGGGACCGCCTGAATGTATCCATTGTTTCACAGTTAATAGCTGGATGCTAATACTTTTCAACATTCACAGCAAGTATCATTTAAAATCGTTCGGACTGATTTTGCCCTTAATATATATACCATAAATTTGAACCTTGGACACATAAACGCCTACTTTTTAAACGTTCTGAAAATTCTCGACAATTTTCTCGGCCACCGCAGTAAATTTAAAGACGACGGATATGAGGTTTTTTGCAATTCACCAATCAATAGATTCAATACAGAAACACTCAATAAACAAACATGACCCAGGGTCGGACTTGATAAACGACTAGTCGGTCCCGTATTCAAATTTCCACTTGGCACACATTCAACTTAATGATAAGGAAACAAAAACTGACATTCATAATATATATATATTAATAGTGGCAGAGACATTGAGAAGCCTGAGAGTGACGACGAAAAATCTTTCAAAGAAAAATTATTATTAATGAAAGCTAAAGATGACATTGAAAAAAACTTTCTAAATATTGTTTAATAAACAGAATTCAAAAACAAGAAGATGATTAAAGTAATCTTGATAATTTGCCATATATAAATAGTTTTGAAAGGTTTTCCATATCCCCAATTTATACTTCTTCTAACCCTAGCAATGAATACTCCAACTACTCATCAAGAGACTATCGAATAACAAGAAACTCCATGCCCAGTGATAGAGGAGCCGAAAGAGATATAATGGATCCAATGGAGCCGCATCATCATCATCATCATCATCACAGGTATCATGATGAGCCGGAACTTCATGATCATCATCACCACCATCATCATCATAGAAGAGAAGGAACTGTGAAGCGAGGACAGTTTACTAGGAGTTTATCGAATACTGATGCACCTTCAGAAGATAAGGCTGGTAAGTATCGCTGTCCCTATTTTATTATTTGAAACTAATCTCCAATTTTAGATGGTAGTCTAAGTGATACGGCTGTAAGTCAATTGCACGGTTTAGAAGTTCCACAAAGAGATAGAAAAGATCGAGATCGAGATAGGGATAGACAAACTCAGTTTACGGGGCTGAATAAAAAGAGTAGCTCTACTAGTCAACTTTCGGCTACAGGTAAGTCTCATCTCGGACGATTTAAATTATTTCTGCTTAGATTAGTGAAAAAAAAAATCTCTATTTTTCAGTGTTTTAAATGGAATTTAATGTGAACTTGAAAGCATCTAAAGTAAAAAGACAAAATTATAACTAACGTAGAAACATTTCTTCAAAGTCAAATAGTTTGCGTGTTAGCTTAGTGTTTTTGATTTGTCATGCGTGTATGCTCTTCCTTTTTTCACCAAAACCCAATTTACCAATGTCGAACTTCTGAAATAATAATAATATATCGAAGCATCAAAGTGTTTTAAACAAGGGTCTGTTAGCATCTATGATTATGGTGATATTTTGTCGTCCACTTACACATTGAAAATCCTAGACAGGCATAACTCAACAAAAGAAAACCCGTGCCTACTCCTTTTACATCTGACCTAAATCTACTTAAAGTGCTCTCCTTCAATGTTGTCATATCACATTTTCTTTTGCCACTCAGTGTAATGATATCCCTTATCCTAAATCAGGTCGAAAAAGACGAATGGGCTTCGGACGTAGAGGTAAAACGTCCTTTACTGTACATAGATCAGAAGAAGTACTGCCAGGTGACGTACGGTTGTCGAAGCAGGGTTCCTCGGCGTCCAGCGATGGAGAGGGCTCGACTGACGGCGACAGGTGCCAAAAAAATATTACTTTGATATTATCCCATCCTTCACTGTTTTATCCATTAAACCCATCCTTGGAGCAATCACGCAGTTAGGTACATAGAGAGACGACAAGATATTTAGAAGAAAAAAATATATAATTAATAGTTACACCTCACTTAATAAATCAGTAATATTCGAATTTATAAAAAAAATAAATAATAGTTATCGTCATTCCACTACAACAATAGCTACTAGAGATGGAATGCAAGTAGAATAGTTAAATAAATAGTTTTTTCTAGGTTGTTTCTTATGCCTGTCTTTCTCTAGTCATTCTGTAGTACTTTAGAGCTACCGCTTTTATGTTGATGATGGTGATGCGTGAGTGAATCGACTGATTTGTTAGATATTTTTTTCCCATTCAAGGCTTTTTGTAGTGAATCAATGCAGGAAAATTATATAACCCTATATTTTTATTCAGTTTAGAATATTTAGTTTATTTATTGCGTGCAAAATACCAAAAAAACAAGATCCACTTGCATACGTTCACATCTGAACCAACCAAGTAACTCGACATGCATCTGGAACTAAAATTTCACTAAATTTCTGGCACTGCAGACACCGGACACGGTAGAAAACGCACTTCTACCGCTACACCGCCGAGCATCCAGAGATCACAGGAAGTTGTACCGGTGATACCGCCCAAGTCTTCGGACAGCAGCCAGAGGGCCTCCAGCCTAAACTCCATTTCCAGTTCGGAAGCATCATCGTAAGTACCTTCTTTGCTTGCTGGCGATTGATGAAGTGAAACTACTACGATGTGTTACCATGTGATATGATTATTAATTATTGGCTGAAGTGTTGCATATTATTATTATTAACCTCCATCTTTTGTATATTATGTTTTCCATCTGTTTTATTGTTTGTGATATTGGATGAATTTTGTACACTTTTGCGGATTTTTTGTGTATGATTTTATATGGAAAGATTGTTGCTAGGAGCTATTCACAACTCGCGAAATTTAAATAAGTTTCAATCATTTATAAGTGCTAGAAATCTATAAATATGAGGTTTGTATGTACCTGAATATCTAGTTACTTAAAAGATCATAAAATCATTCTACAGAAATTAGTTAACATTCATTAATACCAAGAGTTTTCTTTGAAATTTGGGGGACACCTCATAGGTATACCAATTTACATTTGAAAAATATAAGTAATCTATACTCTTAAGATTACACAATACACATGGAAGAAATTCCTTGCAACAAGCTTCGCATGTCAAAATTAAAATTTATTCTAAAAAAAGTAAAATATTTGCTGAAGCTTAGTAAAAGTTTTTTTAAATGGTGTTTGCCTTCCTCCAGGTACTGGTATGTATTAAACTTCGATCTTGAGGCATGCTATTACAATAAATCATCGATAACACACAAATATTGAATTATTTAAGGTACACAACTTAATTAGGATTTGCATGATTTTTAATTTTCTTTTTATAATTAGGCACCAGTATTTAGCTATAACACGAAAATCACATTTTGAAAACTTAATCACATTAAAGTAGTTACTAGTTTTGTTGGCCCGGTTTTTTCTCTATCTCTCTCTATGTACATTTCTGTGTTTGCTCTAAACTTTTTTACCTTTCAAAATACCCTAATAAATATAATACTTCTTTGTAATTTGGGTTGCTTGCCGTTTTCTTGTAAATATTTGCTTGCTTCTTGTATGTTAAGTTTCAAGTCAAAATTCGATTGTAACCAGCCACCCAACTTACATCTAAAATACTAAATTTTGGCCAAATTATGAGTTTTTTTCAACTCACAATTGACCTTAAGGCTTTAACTAAATCCTAACATATCTTCTGCAACTATTACACAGGTGGTCACCATCCTTAAGGTTAACTGGCGAGGGTCAGTTAGCTGAATTCATCGAAGGCTTAGGTCCAGGCCAGCTAGTTGGTAGGCAAGTGTTGGGAGCTCCATCTCTTGGAGATATTCAACTTTCACTGTGCCATCAGAGAGGAGTGCTTGAAGTCGAGATTATACGCGCCAGAGGTTTACAAGCACGACCTGGATCAAAGATTTTACCTGGTTAGAGTTTTGCAATCTTAGAATTACTCGAGGTATATTTAATTATTTCGTGTTTCAGCGCCTTATGTTAAAGTGTACCTGGTATGTGGAAAAAAATGCTACGCAAAAGCGAAAACCCAACAAGCTCGGAGAACGCTGGATCCTTTGTATCAGAAACAAGTAACTTTTAAGGAAAACTTCACAAATTGTATACTTCAGGTAAGAATTATACGATGAAATTATTATAGGATTATTGAGGTATTTTTTTTTAGGTTACTGTATGGGGTGATTATGGTCGAATCGAGGGCAAAAAAGTCTTTATGGGCGTTGCGCAAATCATGCTTGACGATCTTAATTTAAGTAACATTGTCATAGGCTGGTACAAGCTCTTCGGTACGACGTCCTTGGTTAGTAAGGTGAAATTATTTTAAATTTTATTTTCGGTATTATTTATGTTGCTATAGTAGTGGATTCTAATTCCCAAAAGCTTTTTAAACTAGTTTAGATGGGTAGATTGTTGAAAGTAACTCACCAAAAGTAAATTCACAATTATTGTGACTTTGACCCCAAGTCCTTTAAGCATGCTTCTTTATTTGTTTGTTTAACATATTCATTATTTTTTCTTAAATTTTAGAGATAAGACCAACCTATTTAGTTCTAAGGAGACAGTTTCAAATAGCGTAAGTATAAGGCTGAACGAGATTCCAGTGATCCAGATGCTGCTCCGAACAATGGAAGCTGCTTATTACATTGAACTCTAGTGTTAAAAACTTTAAAGACAATTTTACAAATTTTTGTGCTCCAAATATTTGAATTATTCCTTTTACAGGGCAAAAAATATACACAGGACTATATCCCGATTATTCCAAAAGGATATATTCATAAATTCACTATTGGAATATTTGGAGCACCTATCCAAAAAAAAAAAACACACGAACTTGTTGAAATATATCAGAATATTATTTAAATTATTGTACCTACTGTTAATTACAGCAAAAGAAGTGATTTAGACAGGAGATTTAGCCTAAAAAAAATTTAGGACTTAGTGTATAAAATGAAAAGTGAAAAAAATCCGTATAAGTGTAGATACCACGCACACATACAGTTATAGTGTCACTAAATCATATCGAAATATTATTAAATTAAACAGGGCGACTTATAATAGCGAGTGATATAATTGATTGGGGGGAGTCTAGAAGATTTGATTAGATTTGAAATATTAAAGATTATTCCCTACCAATATCTACCAATTTGCTTAACTTCAAAACTATCTTACTTTTCTGGTCAAATGTTTTGGAAGATATTTCTGCTTCTATGGACAATTTTTTTATTTATGAAGTTTATGTTGTTTTTCTGTCATCTTTTATTTTCTGTAATCTGAAGGGTGATATGGCTATAAGCCCTGCAGAGTAGACTCTTTTCTGTAAACTAATTGTGAGTAGAAAACACTTTTTCTGTAGATTACAAGTGCTGGAGATTTTATAAGGGAACCTTCACATTTCTTTGATGGGGAAACATATTTGTTCAAGATCGTGATTTTTTTGTAGGTCCAAGTTCTCTTCTCCAGCCTTTTCAATACTATGTTTTAAAGGCCGGAAGAAAGAGTCGAACTCCAATTTAAGTTGTCTTGTGATGTTTCTGTGGTCATCGGGGTTTTTGGAATAATGTAAATGCTCAAAAGATATTTGGGACTATAGAGGGTCTCCCTAGGGAGTTTGATTTTAGGTCATTTATTTCTTGAGATCATGGAGACCAGTGTTGGCTTGACCTTGAAAGTGGCTTGAGAATTTGTTGGGGCTTGAGGAGCCTTTTGATCTGGGGTTTTAAGTAGAATTGGAGGAGCCTGTGGAGCTGGGGAGGCATTATCAACCAAATAATATTTAATGGCAGGACTGGAGCTGTGATGGATATTGATGGATTCCGCATTGAGTTAGACTTGGAGATGTCGTGTAGCAGGAGTGGAGACCAGTCGCATCAATGTCTGGGATAGGGAAGAAATCCAGCAACTGTTTGTGAAAATCTTCTAAGGGCAGAGATTCCTGGGATGGTTGTGACGGATTTAGCACTGTATCTAAGCTCTTCTGCATTTCAGGATTTTTGACTGATATAGCTAAAGCATTGTGTTTACAAGCATCTGCTAATGGCAAGAAATTACTCATTATTAGGTGGACGAACAAGAAAAATAGGATTGATGGTTAAGACCTTTATGAACAAAAACACTACAGGTTCAGGGTGTTTTTTTATATATTGATACCCCACCTACAACCTTTACCTTTACAGGTAGAAGAATGGTGTAAATACAAAAGTTGTACAGTTTTGGCTGAATTTTTAGAAACCATGGTCAGAAACAACATTTGAATGTCAGAAATGTGAAATATTGCATGCTTTCAGCTTTTTTCAAATGGGATGCCCTATATTTCATTCTATATTCTTGAAGAGCACAAGGCCCCGATTCCAAAAATATATAGTTTGTCTATTAGAATAGATTTGTCAGAATTTGTAAGATTATCCACTTTTTGTCAATTTGCCTTTTAACAGGAATTAGGAATGTTACTTTATCAAACTAGTACGTAATATAATGTGACAAGTTATTCAAGTACAATCGAGTGGATTGTTGCGGAACTTATGGGTGGACCTCTGCGGGACGAGCGCAGCGAGTTCCGCAGCCATCTATTTATCAGTATATTGTTTGATTACGATACTTACCTGACTCACTCAAATGTGAGTTATTCTTATTAATTTAAAAACTACAAGTTTCAGATGAATGTCTTATTTGAATAGTTCAATAGTATATTGGTGAGTAGATAGCTGCGGAACTTGCTGCGCTCGTCCCGCAGAGGTCCACCCATAAGTTCCGCAATAATCCATTTATTTGTAATTGAACAATAACTTATTATATAAAGTCAAAATTTGTAAGATTATGTTTATTCACTTTTTGTCAATTTGCCTTTCAACTGGAATTAGTATGTTACTTTACTAAACTAGTAACATAATGTGACAAGTTATTCAAGTACAAATGAGTGAATTGTTGCGGTACTTATGGGTGGACCTCTGCGGGACGAGCGCAGCCAGTTCCGCAGCCATCTACTCACCAATATACTGTTGAACTGTTCAAATAAGACACTCACCTGAAACGTGTAGTTTTTGAACTAATGAGTATAACTGACATTTGAGTGAGTCAGGTTAGCAGCCATCTATTCATCAATATGTTGTTTAATTACGATACTAACCTGACTCACTCAAATGTGAGTTATTCTCATTAGTTTAAAAACTACACGTCTCAGGTGAGTGTCTTATTTGAACAGTTCAACAGTATATTGGTGAGTAGATGGCTGCGGAACTCGCTGCGCTCGTCCCGCAGAGGTCCATCCATAAGTTCGGCAAAAATCCATTTATTTGTACTTGAACAATAACTTATATAAAGTCAAAATTTGTGAGATTATCCAGTTTTTGTCAACAGGAATTAGTGTTACTTTACCAAACTAGTAATATATTGTGACAAGTTATTCAAGTACAAACGAGTGGATTGTTGCGGAACTTATGGGTAGACCCAGCCATCTATTCACCAATATGTTGTTCAAGTATAATACTAACTTGATTCACTCAGTTTTGAATTTTTTTCATTAGTCCAAAAACTACACGTTTCAGGTGACTGTCTTATTTGAACAGTTCAACAGTATATTGGAGAGTAAATGGCTGAGGTCCACCCATAAGTTCCGCAATAATCCCCTTATTTGTACCCTCAAAAATCCTGTCAAAAAATGGCAAATTGAATGAAACAAATCATTAGGCCGATGAATATGTTGGTATAAAATTGAAGGCAACGATCTTCTGTGCTTTTTCAAGTAAGGAAACCTCTCCAAAAGCTGTCGAACTATCAGGTTGCCTGGGAGAAAATCATGGAACGTTCATGTATGAAATGTATTGAAGCCTTTTTCAGCTCTAGTCACGAGTAGGGAGCCACTATGACGATATCATAATCACGGTAATTGGTTTAAAACTTTTTATCTAAAGTCAGGGCCCTGAAAAATATCTTCTAATTCCAATGAAAACAAGCAAATTGAATCTCTTTCTCAAATTCACTTAGAATATCTTCTCATACTCTTCTAGACTCGCCCAGCTATCCATGAGCTTTTAAACGAGCTCTCTGTGTGCTTTATTGGAATTGATAAAAATGCTTTTTTACTTAAAAACCTTATAAAGGCCCGGCCATTTTTGCGCCGCCATTTGTAAATTATGAATAAAATAGGAAAGCGTTTACTTCCATGGGACAACAGTACATTTTGATGATTTTTAAATCAAACGGAGGATCATACTGCTCTGGGTTATGTTTGAAGCAATTTATATGTACTATTGTTCACATGTTAATATCTGTATAATAAAAAGTACTTATCCTTTAATTAATGAATTGCATGTGATATAAAATGATGTTATGTTGGCTGTTAAACTACCCGCTTGTGATGGTTATTTCCTGATATAACACACAGATGTCGCTGAAGTTGGGAATTTATTTTTGTTTGCCTCATACTTGTATGACCATCCTTAAGAAATCTTAAAAACTCGTTTTTTTTCAACAATAATGTATTATAATTGTGCCAATTACATGTAAAATATAAAATGTACGGCAGAAGTTTATAAAGCTTTTTTTTTTCTAAAATAAACTGCCAAACTTTAATGTCTATGTTTATAAAACTTATCTTTTGTGACTGTTATCCAGTACCCTCTATTTATTATTTCAATTTTAAGCTATTTCTTAAGGGTGCTCGTAAAATACAAAAAAAAAGAACCAAAGTTATTTAAAAAAATATTCAAATTTGTACAGAACATCGATGTTATTGCGAACTTTTTTATTATAATTAGAAAAAGAAAAAATCCTGAAATATATTCAATAAAAATGATATATTATTACTAAAAAAAAAATCCTTGTATATTGAAGCATTTTTGTATCTCTAGTTGTTTTTACCTTAAGTGTGTAGATTCTTTTTATTGTTGCCTGATGAAAAAATGATGTTAGTGTTTAACTGTTTTTTGCGAAGTTTATTTTTTTTTTGTTTTCAAGCAACTAACTTGGCAAAAGGAACTTGAGGAATTTCTAAATTAATCAAAATTTTACACAATGAAAAGTCAATATACCTATGCGAACAAAATTAATCTGAATATCTTTCTTACGTATGTCATGAGCTGAAATTATCATTATCATGAGGAATATATGTATAGGAAAACACGTCTAAAATATCCTTAATGAGTATCGATTGATGACGACATCCTAATACTATTCCCAGCAAAAACTTCAAAGAAATATTCATATCGGATCGATCAAATCTAGATGTTCGATGTACCATAATCTCGAATTAGAGTAATGGTACACTAGTATCCAGTTCTGTTGATATTCCAACCACAGAAACGTTTTAGATGCGGATGCCCAAACAAGGCAAACCTGATTGACATGCTTAAATGAATCTGGGTTTCGTTGTGAATCCTACATTGCACTGACGATATGCAAGAGCACCGAAACTCGTCTGTTACCGGATTCGCAATAGAACTGGATACTTTTGCCTAGATTTGTCATTTGCATAATTGCTTGTTCAGGAAAATATGAAAATAATAGTGTGCTCTTCACATAATATAAATTTCTAGTTCCATGGAAATAATACATCAACATACATACAAAACATTCTTTTGCCAAGTTTGCTTGATATTAATCAATAAACAAGTAAATTAGAGAGAGAAAAACGATTTCTTTTTGCGTAAAAAAAAAAAATTAGCAATAGAAGCTTCAGCCGCTTGAATCCAAGAAATATAAAAAAATTGAATAAAAAATCCCTTGTAACGACACTTTTACTAAAAAGTATCATTAAATTACGAAGCTAATTCATACAGGATGATAAAAATTATTTTTGTTATTTTATAAAACATTTTTTGAGTTTGTAACAAATGTTTTAATTCAAACATTTATCGTTTGTTAATGCGTTGAAAATATTTGTTACTTGAGCAAAAATATATTAAAAATATATCATAACACAGTTTTCTATTATATTTTTATTTTTAAAAACTAGTTTTTATCTGTCTTATATTTTTGATTATTCTCAGTACAATATGTTTCTTAAGTTTACTTCTTTTGATACCTGAAAATATGAAAACTTTTATCTGAACCTAAAATCAATCAAAGTTTCCGTATTTTTATCGGTTGAACTGTATTATTTGTGTTCGATCAACAAAAACAAATTGCGCATATCATTGGAGTGCATAAAAAGTCCACTGAATGTCCGTCTTGATTCGTTCACTATCGACTGATGTATCCCATTATTCAGCCCATTGGGCAAGACAATAAATGAATGATCTATCGAACTTTTTTGTAGTTTTATTTACCAGCAAATACACACATCAAAATAGTCTAGGGAACAAGATGCAACTGAATACATTTATAAATTGAAGAAAATTTAGTTTTGAAAGAGTTTTAATTTTTTTTAAATCCTGCTAAAAAAGCCGACATGGTAAATTTGACAAGATTTGTTCAATAAATAATACTCACTTTATCTTTTTTAAAAAGTTGTTCTTTCCTAAAATTGAAAGACAGATATTTCTTGTTCTCTAGACTATTTTGATGAGTGTAGTTTTCAGATGGTGCATTTATGCCTTCATCTATACCTATATTTCGAATCTGTAGCTGAAGTAACAGCATGATCAAGGGATCATGGAATTTTGAGTGTTCCAAAAAGACAAATTTTATTTTGAGGTTGAAGGGGATGATCTGAAGTTCTCTTTTAAGCTTAACAAGAAATAATTCCAGTTTTATACAGGGTGTCACAGAAATAATAACAATAAAATTTTTAGCAGTAATTGATTTCTTGAACCGCAACAACATTTTTCAATGCTTTTTTGTCGTAAGGCCGTTTAGTTAAAATTTTTGATAGATTTGTCATTAGGAGACCCCGAACCTCACAATAGTTAAGTATTTATGCAACAAGTGTGTAAAGTGAACCTTTTTTCACGAATGTGAATTTTGACGCACAAGCCGAAGGCGAGTGCGACAATCACATAAGTGAAAAAGGTGCTTTACGCACGTATTGCATACAATATTTTTTCTACTACCAATCAAATATGTGTAAAATAATAGATTTAGACAAATACTTTACGCACTAGTGTGTGAAGTATTTTCACTTTACGCACTAGTGTGTGAATTAATTTACCAGAAAAATGCTAAATCGACAGTGTCAATAACTGTCATTGTCATTACTTTATGCACTAGTGTGTGAAATGAACTACTTTATGTACTAGTGCGTGAAGTGAGATTTTACGTCTTCTGAATAGTGCGTAAAGTAAGTACTTTACGCACGGTAGTAGAAAAAATAGTTTTTTCCACATGGAAAGGTATACTGTTTTTACTTTTCCTTTGACTTTTCCAATGATGCTATAATAATTTGAACATAGGAACAATGGCGTTTTTTTGAGGAAGTGCGCCGTCAGTTACACTATGTTTTATTTTCATTTTAAGCTATCTAGTGCCTCGGTAAAAAAAGTGTCATGATTAGAGGAGAAAAGTACTTATTAGTCATTATGACGAAAAACCTGAAAATTTTGGCAATAAAACGAAACCTAAAATCATAATATAATATAATTTATTCTAGCCGTGTTTACAAGCGATACAACGTTATTGTATCAAGTAGGCCAATTTTATTTTATTTTACGGTGAATTATTCTTGAAATAAAATTCTAGAAATCAGTATTTTGTGAAAATTTCAGCATCAAACACGGTTAGAAAAGGTAAGCCACTTGGACCATGGAACCTCCCCCAACTCAACTGGATGGTAAGTACAAGTGCAGTGGATTGTACACTTGCCACCTGTAACATGAATTTTTCATGTGGAAAATATTCTGGTTAGATTTGCCGCAGTGTCAAGCAGACACGCCTTGTAAATTTTCAGATACAATTCGCCTATACAGGTGATTTTTAGTTTGTCATTTGTAGACTTCCAGGGAATGACATCACTTGCTATTTAAGCTCATGTTAGCTTGTGTTGTGATGATGAGAACTTGTTACGATAAATTTATCATTTTCATCACATGTTCCATTTCTTCTAATTTTCATTATCAAATTATATTTTTGCCATTTCAGGATCAGCAAAATAATAATTCATAACTTAAGTAATTTAAAATTATCTACAAAATTTAATTAATTCCATATAATATCAGTACTGCCATCTATCCATAATGAGCATAAAAATGCAAATATCTGTTATTAAGAGAAGGTACCGCCATCTAGTACCTGATAAATTTACTATGGTGGAAATATCCATATTTTCACAAAAACACTTTTTTCTACTACCGTGCGTAAAGTACTTACTTTACGCACTTTTCAGAAGACGTAAAATTTCAGTTCACGCACTAGTGCGTAAAGTAATTCACTTCACACACTAGTGCGTAAAGTAATGTCAATGACAGATGTCCACACTGTCAATTTGGCATTTTTCTAGTAAATTCACGCACTAGTGCGTAAAGTGAAAATTCTTTACACACTAGTGCGTAAAGTATTTGTCTAAATTTATTTTTTTACACATATTTGATTGGTAGTAGAAAAAAATTTGTATGCAATTCGTGCGTAAAGCATCTTTTTTCACTCATGTGATTGTCGCACTTGCCTTCGGCTCGTGCGTCAAAATTCACATTCGTGAAAAAAGGTTCACTTTACACACTTGTTGCATAAATAACTATTTTCGATGAATCGCAATTATTAGTTTTACCTCCTTAAACCACCCTCAAAGTAATTTGCAAGTCAAGTAAGTTCCCCAAACGATGTATTTTGGTACTACCTATAATCTCCAGTACCTTTCATGCCCGAAACTAGAGTAGAAATGTCCATATTTTCACAAAAACTCTTTTTTCGATGAATAATCGCAATTATCAGTTTCACCCCCTTTAACCACCCTCAAAGTAATTTGCGAGTCAAGTTAGGTTCCCCAAACGATGAATTTTGGTACTACCTATAATTTCTAGTACCTTCCGTGCCCGAGACTAGGGTGAAAATGTCCATATTCCCACAAAAACCCTTTTTTCTACGAGGTCATGAAACCACTTTTCCGCCCTGAGTGCGGAAAAGTAGAATACCTAAAATTTTTAGGTATACAGGTACATACAGGTATACAGGTATACTACAGATACAGATACGGAAAAGTGAAAAAAAAAAAACCTTAAATTGGTAAATATATAGGAGCTTATATTAACTTCCATCTCGTAGAAAAAATAGTGTTCCTAACTTGTGCGTAAAGTCTCTTTTCCGCACTAGTTAGGAAATATACTATTTAGCTTCGCCCTAACATTACTTTTAAAATTTTGCTTTTTGAACTGCACATGCGAAACAGTTCTGATTGTTCTCAATCATTTTCGCGAACGTAGCTATTTTCTAATCGGCTGCTCTACTAGGAGAGGGCAACCAACATCTGATTAAGCTTGTACCTACATTTCAATAAGTTCTCAGACAGGCAAGTCAATTTCATTTTTGTAATTTTTTTCTTCAGATTTCTAGATTTTCCCTTAATCACTATCACTGTTGAGATTTTACCTGATAAATCTTATCTTATCTATTTTTGAAACATAAATATTATATTTTAATTTTTTTATCTAATTGTATGTCTCCATTTTGTAACTGGTGGTCCCACTTTTTTTCTGATGTGAGTCAATTCAGAGTTTTGGCTAATAAATAGGTACTGCTGCTTTGGTTTTGGAATCAATTGTTAGTGTGGGATTATTGGACCATTTGCTCTAAATAGAGTCGGTGCAAACCATATTTGTGTGTCCATCCCTATCAACTCTTTACTGAATACAGGCAGAGGCCTGAATAGCCATTTTCTGTTTGACTCCTTCAATTATCTTCTCAAGTAGGAAAAGCGCTGGAAGGCTGAAATTTTAAAATAGAAATCCGGATAGGTCAAAAATTTATTTAAAAAAGATTTTAATTAAAACATCAAAATTTCGACAATTCCTGGATTTAATTTATTTCATCCTCAGCTTTATCTTGTAATACCTATAGTAGGTACCATAACTTAAAAGGAAAATTTGTCTATTTGGGGAAAATCTAGAGATTTTTTTTTATCTGATTCAATTTTTTCTACATATTTAATTGTTTCTTTTTTATATTAAAATATTTTTCCAATTTGCAATAGTTGCTCATACTAACCTGATTCTGTTGGAAAGGAGTGTCTGCACAACAATGGAACAATAGTTTTATAATAAAATAATTTCAATTTAAATCTTCTTTGCAAGACACTCGGTTTTTGACTGAATTCAGGGATTTAATATTTCAAATCTTGGCTAACCTGATATTGCCTTATTCTTTTCTGGGTACCTACTCGACATAAGAGATCACTATTTGAAGTCTGGATCAGCTGGAGTGACGTCACACCAGCAATCAATCCTCTTTCCTGGATACAGGAAACAACACGAAGAGCTCCAGTTCACGAAAGTGAAACCCCAATATCCATTGAAGAGCTCCGGATTGGAAAGTACATATTGTATCAGATTCATCAGAACAACCAAACTCTCTAATTTTAAAAAAAAGTAACATTGTTACTCACAATGTGAACAAATATCAAATAAAATTATTGTTTGTTGTAATTTGAGTGGTTTCATTTGCACATAAAGGGACTACACGTTATCTTTATTTTTGAATTCCGCGACCCTATAGGTTCTCTTGTCTTAAAATACAAATAATTATATTTATTTGTAACAATTTGTAGATTTCGAGGGAATGACATCACTTGCTATTTTAGCTCATGTTTTCTTATTTGTTAAGTTCGATTGTGTGCAATGATGAGAACTATAACAAGTTCGAAACCGGCATGTTGCTAAACAAATGTCCAACGAAAGGAGCACGACTTTTTCTTCATTGTCTTACATAGCACAAACACATGTATCGCATATTCTCACTGTCTAGAAGCGCTACCAAGCAGATACCCTTTATGAATTGATCTATTGGTTCTAATAATCCACTAACAAAAACTTTTAAGACATCATCCCTAGCTAGTCAAACTAAGTAAGTAACTGATGATAATCACATATAAGCTTCCAGTTCCATTAGGCAACTACAACAAAACAACCTTCTCGAATGAGTATATATTATTAATACACGGACCATCACGGACAGAAAAAAAAATACCTAGTGAGCTTGTTTAATCTCGAGCCGTTTTTTCTCGTCTTCTTTTTTTCCGGCTCGCGTCCGTCCGCCGCAGCCCCTCCGCCTCTTCCCTGGCGGATTCTGAGGCCCTATGCCACCAGGATACGTCGAAGCGCGCGCCGCCCCGGCCGCAGTGGACTTTCGGCTGCCGAACGGGCTGCGTCTAGCAACTGGCGGCCTTGCAACTAGCAGCTGAAGCTGAGCTACGGGGAAGGCACCGACAGCAGCTGGTTGCGCCGGTTTTTGAACGGTGCCAATGTGCAATTTCGGGTAGTCCGGTACCTATTGACGTTGTGCGCCGGCCCGTGGGTGACTTGTGCACTATTCATAACCTTATTCAGTGACAGTTCTTACCGGATACGCTCGCGGTTTTGTCATTTGGTAAGTATCAAGTCACATGCTCGATTACTTCTCATCTGGCTGCACAACTCGTGTTGATATGACTCACCGTTTATCTATAGTTTTCAGTCCATAGCTCGAAGAAAACTGATAAAGCAACAAGTATACTGCAGTCTTCTCTATCCTGCTTGATGGTTTACTTAAATTTAAATGACAGCTGATGGTTTTTGGTATTTTTTAAGCTAAGAATCCTTTTTGTAGTTAGTTACCTCTTGAAGTCCATGTTACTTAACAATAAGCAACACCGGCAAGAATGCCAGCAAAATATTTTTAACGACATTCGCAGTTATAGAAGTATCTTATTCTTAACTTCTCACGTAATTTTTTAAATTTTAAAGGTAATGATAGTTATGATTTCTAAGGAGTCAAAATATGAGGTATAAGTCTCCTGCCTGCTGGAAACAAACATCAACTGCTTACCGCTCGACTAAGAAATGCACTTTTGGTGGGCCCTATGTATATAGTTTCATTTAAATGAATTTGATCAGGCGTACTTAAAGAAAATATATATGACATAATACGGGCGATATGATTAACATGATTTATGCTTTAATCATTACTCTTTAACGTTAACAAATGATAATTCAAGTTTCTTGCTGTTAGAGCTTTGATAATACAAAAAAATAATTTTCTTATTTCAAAGCTCTCGACTTGAGAAAGAGAATTTTCTTGTTAATCACTGAATGATAAAAAATCAAAATGCACAACTCAATATTTTTATTAGAAAAAAATATACATTTTTTAAACCCCTATATTCAAATCGTGCCCTGGGGTCTATTGATTCGATATTGATGGCTAAATTGCTCCTATTACGGTAACTGTTTTATCAAAAGGGCTCATCTTTATACGAATACGAATAGTCCCAATCCAGTATTATGAAGTCCCATAACTCATTTACTTTAATAGCTTTTATGTACCTATTTTGTTTAGGTAATATTGGACGGATTATATATTGTCCATGAATACATAATACATACAAACTTATTAAATGGTTTCCCAATACGGTCTCTTTTCACTTCTCCAGTGAGGCTTTTAATCTAGGTAATTTGGATCTCTATCGTAGGTATCGCATGTTGAAGAAAACTGCAAGAAATTGAACAATGTTACTTTTCTGGATTTTGATTTTATTCGGTAACAGCATAAACTACGATGATGATTCCAGATTCAATTAACATAAGGCCAGAAAAAGTTCACTAACAATATTTCTTCAGGTAATGACTAGCTCACATTTACTATTATGGGAAATATGACCAAATGTTCTTCTTGCGTAGGTAAAGCAATGCAAGGTGAATAAACAAGGGTAGAAATGATCTCATAGAATCCGAAAGGTTTAATAATTTAAATTATTTGCAATTATTACTCAATGATAGAGCAGGTAGGTACGTTTCCATTTCCATCATACCGTGAAAATTTATGCGTTTCGTTGCATTCAATTTGGCAAAATACCCATTTAATTGGCATTAAATGTTCAATTCAAACTTTTCTACCGGAAGCCTGTGTAATTATCAAACGTGAAAAGCCTTCCAAAAACCAACATAGTTATTATACAATTTATTAAAAAACTTTATGCCCAACTCCAAAACATTTTTCCGCGCTGGAAAATTTTCGTGGTAATTAATTTTCCCAAAAAAGAACTCGTAATATGCCGAATAAGTTGCAACTTTTCAAAATAAACCAACCAGGCCCGCTCTGGTCGGCGTTCAGGCGTTACTTTAATTATTTTCACGGAGTTGAGTTTTGGAAAATTTCAATGAAAAATGCTAATTTGATTAGGTGGGACCCACTCTTTCGAAACTCAGTTTAATTATGCCGAAGAGATTATTCAACTTTCGCCAAAAGTTCTTATGGCTTTGGAAAAGTTTTAATATTTATTACATCGGTCGTTTAACATCAGGAATATGTATTTTGAGTTTTTGAAGATGACACTTGAGAACCTTCAAATTGATGATTTGAATAATAAGAAGCAGAACGATTGAACCATTGAGCTTGAAATTCAAAGGCTTATTTATTTGGCTCTTATATTTAGGTGGCCCTATTTCAAACTCTGAAGCCTCAAGCATTATATTACTTATGTTAACAAGCCATGTGATTTATGGATTTGTTCAACGACTTTTTGAAACTATAAATTGTGTATCATATTCAGCATTATAATAAAGAAATATCAGGAGCATTGAGTATGATATTACTTAAATTAAAATTAAAATAAGCTAAAGTGTGTCATGTGCATCATTCTCCAGTGTATGATCCTATGAAGCTTACTCTGAATCCCGGAAAGACATGAAGTACCATAGTGACATGTGCTACCTGTTACTAGAGCTCAGCATTCAATTCCGTCCAACTTGTGGTCATTGTAACAAGCATTTTAATATGCTCGTTCCAATGATGTAAATCAGTGCTGAAATTTGCACCGAGTCTGGTTCTCGAGTGCGCTAGGAATACCTTTGTCAATTAGTGTTCGGACCATTGTTCGAGTGGTTTTGTTAGTTCCGCAAAGGGATTTCTTTTCGACAAAGCAGTACCTCAGGATCCTTATTCTTGAAACAAGGGAGCAGCGTTCCCAGGAGAACGAGTATTCCGTCTTTCTTATTCATATTTTCACTTGCATATCATTGAGAAAGACGGAACACTCATTCTCCTGGGAACGTTGCTCCCTTGTTTCAAGAATAAGAACCCAGAAGTCATTCACACATTAACCTAAATTATTGGATTGTTGCGCTTTCAGCGTGGAATTGTCATTTTTTTTTTTAACAATAAATAAGAGATTATTTAAGGAAAAAGCTGAAAAATAAAGCTTTTTTTTAGTTGCCACAATTTGATGAGAAGTGATCTGATACCTGCATAGGCGATTGAAGCCACAAAATCAAAAATAAAATTTAAAACTTCTCATTGAGAATTCACAGCAGATGTTGGATTAAGTAAATAAGTTTTATTTTTGAGCCAGAAATGAAATTTTAGTGAATACAATCGTCCAAAAAGCCAGACCATCAGGCTTTTAATACCTTTCACATCAGGTTTCTTACTACCTTTATTTCACCTTTTCCACTTCAAGTTCAATCAGATGAAAAAATAGCTATATTTTTCAGCTTAAGGTCTTGAAGAGAGATGCAGGCTTGCCGAATCAGATGCACTTTAACAATATCCATTCTTCGAACCCTCAACAGATTGCTGAACTCTTTGCCACACACTTCAAGAATTGTTATTGTGACCACAAGGATGTTGAGATCAAAGAAGACTCTTTTGGAACATACCTTTCCAATCATCTCTTCACAGTCGAGGAAATACAGAGAGAAATTCTGGATCTCGATGCCTCAAACAGTCCTGGACCAGATGGTGTTTCTTGAAAGCTGTCGCACATCTCTAAGCTTTCTTCCGATACCGGCATTTTTCCCAGAAGTTGGAAAATCTCAACACTTTTCCCTGTCCACAAATCAGGAGATAGCACTGATGTGAATAATTATATTATAGGCATACCTCTACTATCGCGCATTCCTAAAATTATGGAATCCATTCTAGCAGACAATGTGTAACGTAACGTAACTACATTGCTAACGAATAGCACGTTTTCTGCAAGGGTAAATCCACTGATATAAATCATGCTATCTACCAACAGTTCCTAACGAAAGCTTTGGAATCAGGAAAACAGGTGGACCTGCCATAAGTTGTTACTAAAAAAACTTCAATATATGGACTTCAGTGCACGTTTCTGGGAATGTATACGATCTTATTCAACGGAGAGATGTCAAAGAGTTAGTGTGTGCGGTGCAGTATCCCACGAGTTCATAGTTTCATCCGGCGTTCCTCACATAGGACCGATTATGTTTGTTAATTTCATAAATGACATCATCCTTATCCAATGCTTCCAATTATTTCTCTGCCTACTATACTCTGACGACTTAAAGTTTTTACCAGTTGAGGACGGGCACTCTACCTCTCTCCAGCCGGACTTGGACAGGTTGTTCACTTGGTGCAACTCAAATCTTCTCAAACTCAATATTACTAAGTGCAAACACATGATTTTTCACAAGACCAAAAATCCTATACTGTCGACATACACCATCAACAACGCCAATCTGACCACCTTCGAAGACCTTTGAAAAAGACCTGTCTTTCAACAAACAGATCGTCATGAAAAGTCCTAGACTTTTAGGTTTCATCAAACAAAACACTAGAGACATACATTATACGAAGTCTATTATCTGTCTATATTGCAGTCTCATTCGATCCACACTTTTGAAAACTGCAGCCCAATTTGGACTGCAAGTTACATATGCCACATTAGAAGAATAGAAGGAGTGCAGAAAAAATTTGCCTGCTCTACAAACTGAGATTTCCTTACCAGAACCTTGAGTATTAGACTCGTTTCCAGATCTGCGGCATACCCAGCTTTGAGAATTGACGCAAAAATGCCCAGCTCATTTTTCTCTACAAAATTCTGCAGAACATTATCAAATCGCACGAACTTCTGATAGAAATTGGATTTCTGGTTCCTGGAAGAAGAACCGGACAGAGGCAGCTCTTTTTCCAACCTGTGCATAAAACTAACTACGGTTCATATAGATACCGCTCTGAATGTAATAAAAAAAGAAAACAGTACTTAATTACAAAGGCTGTATTCTTTATACTTCGTATTTTTAATAAGTTGTAAATCTGCATATCATTATTTAAGTATATTTCTTCAGTTTACCATTCAGAAATTTGTTTTGTAGAGTACACTTAAATATAAATAAATAAATAGATAATATTTCCACTTATGACAAAACAAAATCCAAAAAATAACTATTTTAAACTTTTTCATTTATCAGGTTATATTCTTCTTTACTCTACGAAAATTGAATCGTTCCGCTATACCAGTATATTCTTAGCTTTAAACCAGGGCGCCTGAATCCAGATTAATGGACAGTCCTCGACGTTGTCTGGCAGAGGGGGCCCCAAATGCATACTTGTTTTGGATAAACAGAGGTTCCGAAATTAGACTTTAATCC